TAACTGTAACAGTCAGCTGGTGCATCAAGGCACAGGCTCTAAATAATGCAAATCTCTTGGTAAAATCACATTATATAATGTGTTTTTTTAACCAAAATCCTCTATGTAAAAATGTGCACAGATTTCTGTTGTTGTTTTCCTTTCTGTGGTCCCTTTTGGCAACAGTATTGTATTGCAGATTTCCATTTCTTTGCAGCTCTCCTACATTGTTAGTGGATGTACAGTTCTGTATATGGGTGCACGTAGCAGCATACACTCATCAAAACTCCTGTAGTCATGCAACTGAAGGAATCCATCTCTGATTTGTAATTTACACCCCTTAGGCATATATTGTTCAAGCACATGCAATTTGGGCAGAGTGCCATACCCAAGCTATAGCAAGTTCCATCAGCAATATTACTGGCAAGTATAGTAAGAGAAATATAGCTCAGTGTAAAAGAGGACTCTCTTTGATTCCATGACAGAGGAACCCTTTGGTTGTGTACTGCAATCATTACTATACATAGAACCATATCAAACTTTCCCGCTACAGGACTGGAAGCTGAAACAGTTGGCTGAACTCACTACAATCCAGCTTACCATGACTGTGCAAACTAAGCAATGCATTTCCCTGGTGAGCATAGTAAGCTATGTATTTCCCTGACGAGAAACATATTCCCTACTGCAGGGGACACACAGATACACAGTCACTAAATAGAAAAGGGAAAATGAATATTCCTTCCAACAAGAGAGAAAAAAAACATTAGGTGATGTATCTACATGGTCATTTTATTAACAGTGCTCCTTGAGCCTCCTGAAATACCCCAAATTTCAGGATATGGAGAAACTTTACACACCTCCCTTGCAACTTCATTCGCTGAGGCATAGTGGTTGATTTACCAAAGGAAAATAGACAGTTCACATTGGGTAAACATGGCAAGTTGAGTTAATGCCAAAGAGCTCAATTCTGGTCTAATCTGACCACAGCACTTTCTCCTGGTCCTTTTCTGAATCATTTAGATCTTCATTGAAACACTTCATATGGGCCTATACATGTGCCTTCTTGAGGAGGGGGACCTTGCGGGCAATGCAGTATTTTAAACCATGGCTGTGTATTGTGTTACCAATGGCTTTTTTGGTGACTATGGTCCTAACTGCCTTGAAACCATTCACAAGCTCCTCCCATGTAGTTCTGGGCTGATCCCTCACTTTTCTCATGATCATCCTTACCCCATGAGGAGAAATCTTGCATGGAGCTCCAGACCGAGGGAGATTGATGGTTATTTTGTATTTCTTCCATTTGCCAAAAATTGCTCCAGCAGTTGTTTTCTTCTCACCAAGCTTCTTGCTGATGGTCTTGTAGCCCATTCCAGCATTGTGCAGGTCTACAATCTTGTCCCTGACATCCTTTGACAGCTCTTTGGTCATTTGCCCATGATGGTCAGGTTTGAATGGAAGAAAGAGATGCTCAGATTTTGTGGACAGGTGTCTTTTATACACATAACAAGTTATCATTAGGAGCGCCTTCCTAAATTCACAGAACTAATCTGTGTACCACATGAGCACATACAGTAGCCAGACTGCGGGAGCCAGAATTATTGTTGGTTGGTAGAGGATTTACTCACTGAACTGCAACTCAATTTATAACATTTGTATTATGTGTTTTTTCTGGATTTTTGGTTGATATTCTGTCTCTATCATTTAAAATACACCTATGACAAAAAATTTTAGACCCTTCATTCTTTGTAGGTGGGTAAACGTACAAAATCTGCAGGGGATCAAATAATTATTTTCCCCACTGTGTATATATATATACATACAGTATATCTATATCTATCTATCTATATCTATATATATACAGTATAAATATAAAAAACAACATCAGTTTGTTGTACTGTAATAGGATAAATACCTTTTTTTTGCGTTCTGTGGTTATTAAAAATGTTTTTTTCCAAAAGGACAAAGAATAAATATTACAGTCAATTTCAAAAAGAAGAGAAACACATATAAGCCTGTGAAGTGAAATTACATCATAAACAAGTCCCAAGGTGAAAATAAGACATATGACAATATTAGATACATGTCTGAGAAATAATTGCACAATCTACACATGTGAACTGACATAGTGTCTATAATTGCAATTTAAGTAACTTTGTCAAAAATCCTCTAGTCATGAATTTGCTACTGGTACCAAAGTCTTGCCATAAAAAAAAACCAAGGAGATATAAATATTTTGATCACAATTACAAGGACTATGTCAGGCCTCACTAAATGGCAGACTGCGGTCAAGACCCCATTCAGATCATCAGAGTCCTAACAACCAATGCAGTCACATGCGTGCTCCTCCATCCCCAGCATCACGGGGTTACAAAGGAAAACGTACTGTGTCTAGAGCTGCGGCCTGCTTCACCTCCTGATTTACGCTCTCTGCCTGCCTGGCACTAAAAGGTATGGGGGCACTCTGATGAGGACACCTGATGTAAGAAGGGCATTCTGATTTGGATATCTGATGTAAGAAGGGCATTCTGATTTGGATATCTGATGTAAGAAGGGCATTCTGATTTGGATATCTGATGTAAGAAGGGCACTCTAATGGGGACACCTGATGTAAGGGGGCAAGCCCATGCAGACATGTAATGTAAGGGAGCAATCTGATAGAGACACCTGATGTAAGAAGGGCAATCCGATGCAGACACGTAATGTAAGGGAGCAATCTGATGGAGACACTTGATGTATGGGGCACTCTGATGGGGACACGTGATATAAGGGGGCTCTCTGATGAAGACACCCAATGTAAAGGGGGTCTTTGATGAAGACACCTAAAGTAAGGGTCCACTCTGTTGGGGACACCAGATGTAAGGGGACAATCTGTTGGGGACACCTGATGTAAGAAGGGCACTCTAATGGGGACACCTGATGTAAGGGGACAATCTGATGGGGACACCTGATGTAAGAAGGGCACTCTAATGGGGAAACCTGATGTAAGGGGGCAATCCGATGCAGACACATCATGTAAGGGGCACTCTGATGGGGACACATGATGTAAAGGGGCTCTCTGATGAGGACACCTAATGTAAGGGACCACTCTGATGGGGACAACTGATGTAAGGGGACAATCTGATGGGGACACCTGATGAAAGAAGGGCACACTAATGGGAACACCTGATGTAAGGGGGAAATTCTAAAGAGACACATAATGTAAGAGAGCAATCTGATAGGGACACCTGATGTAAGAAGGGCTCTCTGATGGGGACATTGATGTAAGGGAGCTCTCTGATGGGGACATCTGATGTAAGGGAGCACTCATATGGGGAGACCTGGTGTAAGGAGGCAATTTGATGAGGATACCTGATGTACGGGGTCAATCTCATGGAGACACTTGATGTAAGGGGCACTCTAATGGGGACACATGATGTAAGGGGGCTCCTTGATTAAGACACCCAATGTAAAGGGCCTCTCTAATGAGGACACCTAATGTAAGGATCCACTGTTATGGGGACACCTGATGTAAGGGGGCAATCTGATGGGGACACCTAATGTAAAGGGGCAATCTGGTAGGGATGACTGATGGAAGGGAATACTCTGAAAGTTAACAATACATATTTTTGAAATGTTGTGAAAATTGTATATTACTTATTTTTTGATAGAAATGACTGCATATATACTAGGATCTAAGTCATAGAACAAAACATGACATGTGCGTCCTGTTCCACCTCCTGATTCCCTCTTTCTGCCTCCCTGACATTAAAAGACTATGGGGGCACTCAATTGAGGACATGAATGTAAGAAGGGCACTTTGATGGGGACACCTGATGTAAGAAGGGCATTCTGATGGTGACACCTGTTGTAAGAAGGGCATTCTGATGGGGACATCTGATGTAAGAAGGGCACTCTAATGGGGACACCTGAAGGGGGCAATCCGATGCAGACACGTAATGTAAGGGAGCAATCTGATGGGGACACCTTATGTAAGGGTGCTCTCTGATGGGAACACCTTTTGTAAGGGGATACCTGATGTAAGGGGGCAATCTGATGGGGATACCTAATGTAAGGGGGCAATCTGATCTAGGCACTTGATGTAGGGACACTCTGATGGGGACATGTGATGTAAGGGGGCTCTCTGATGAGGACACCTGATGTAAGAGGACGCTCTGATGGGGACACCTGACGTAAGGGGGCACTCTGATAGGGACACCTGATGCAAGGGGGCACTCTGATGGGGACCTGATGTAAGAGGGCAATCTGATGGGGACACCTGATATAAGAAGGGCATTCTGATGGGGACACCTGATAAAAGAAGGGAACTTGGATGGGGACACCTGATGTAAGGGGCAACCCAATGGGGACACCTAATGTAAAGGGGCAATCTGACGGGGACAACTTATGTAAGGGGACACTCTGAAAAATGACATACATATTGTTTAAATGCTGTGGAAATTGTACATTACTTATTTCTTGATAGACATAAATGACTACATATATATTAGGCTTTGAGTAATAGAACAAACATGCCATTTGGACCTCATTTGGAAGAACATTTTACTGATCTGACAATTTGTAGTTTTCTCTGGACTATTAGAGCAAATATATAGCTATATAACCATTTTAGTTTGTTATCAATATTGGTTTAAATATTTTTTGATTAAGATTACATGGACTATATCATAGCACAGATTATTTCCACTGTGTTAATTTGTGTATGTACATAAAGGGACTAAATTTAATGGTTCAAAGTGCTTAGTGAAGCACCACAAAGGATACCAGTACTGCATGAATGAATGAAATAAAGGAGTGACCACATTTGCTTACTATTCCATAATAAAATCTTGTCTTTGTCTTTAAGTTATTGGAGACATTGTTATAGTTCCTTTTCTATCTACACAGGAGAGGGGAGCGTTTCCATAGAGAAAATATCAGAGCCCCTTCCTTGAGAGTGAGGAGGGGGGAAGAGTGAACGAGAGAGGGGGAGCAGACTTTCAAGTCACAGGCAGCTGCCTGATGAATCTCTTTATCCTGAGAGGCAGAGAGAAGGGAGCGTCACTCATCAGCACTGCCACATTCAGGTGAGTACATAGTACTGCTGACACTTCCACTACAAGTCAGGCAATGTGACATTTAGGACAAGGCATAAACTGCTTCTTCTCTCTTCAGTTTATTCCTGCTTATGATCTTGCATAGTTTTTTTTCACATCACTTGTTCCCCCTAATGTAAAAGTAGCAGAATTGAGCTAATAACTTCATTGTGATGTCAGGCGGTGTACTTGATGAGCACAGGGGGGCAAAGAAATGGAGGGAGTTGTAACTTGAATTGTCTGCTGCTGACACTGGAAACCACAGTGATTCCAACCTGAAGAATTTGCAAGATTTATGTATTTTACAGAACAGTGCTCAGTGAAATATATATATATATATATATATCGAACAGACATTTTGCAGCACCTTGTGAATTTATTAAAGTTTGCTCTTACATCAGTTTTGGATGCATATGGACACTTTAAATGTATATATATATATATATATATATATATATCAGTCAGAGATTCTGCTGCAGCACATTGTGAATTTATTCAAGTTTGCTTGTATCAAAACCTGTACAACAGTTTTAGATCCAAATGGACTATTATATATATATATATATATATATATATATATATATATAATTATTTATTTATTTATTTTTGTTTTAATTATTATTATTGTATGTATTCTGTTGGGATGCTATAAGGTGTTTGCTACATCTTAGTGAAAGGTACAAATGTTATACTCAATGACACTTTCTAACTGAATTAAACACTATAAAATGTCACTTTCTAAAAACCATAATGCCTAGACTTATGAGAATACAGTTATTCTAGTATAGTGGGAACACTAACGTAGACAACATGAAGTTGTGAAGCTGAGTGGAAAGTACATCTTCAGCCTGCCAATATCACCACTGTTGTTGATTAAGGAAAGTATGCTGTAAGTGTCATTGGTCAGAATTTATAGAGTAGAAATGCTTCTAATGGTTTGCAATTAGAAACTCCCTGTAGACACATATTTATGTATGCAAATACAGAATAAAAAGATACAGACAAATACATAGACACTTCTGTCTGACCTCTCAGAGAGGAGCATACATAAGCTGCAAACAAGCACTTCATAGGACAAATAGTATTTTTATTCTTTTTTTTTCAGATCCTAGCAGGACATTCGTTATAGCAAAATTTGGCTGCCACACAGAGCACTAACAAGTGTTAATACTTTCTTCAGTTTTACAGCCAAATTTCAGTTTTCTCAATTGTATTGAGATTCTAGAATGTATATGTATTCAGTGCAATGAGTAATGATGACATGAAAACTGCTGTAATTTTAGAATCATGAATTCTGATTGGCTGCCAAACATTTTTGCATTGCATACTGTGTTTTAAGTATTATTATGCAAACACAATACAGGCAATTTGGTGCTATCTTGTCACCAATAACTGCAGTTACATCATCTAAAAACTGGCATTATTCTTGATTTGTGTAGTGGCAGCATATTCCACAGTGCTGTATTAAGTAAGAACCTAAAAGGAAGGAATAAAACCATGCCATGTATTATTATGCAAACACAATATAGGTGGTTTGGTGCTATCTTGTCACCAATAACTGCGGTTACATCATCTCAAAGCGGGCATTATTCTTGATTGATATAGTGCCAGCATATTCCACAGTGTTGCACTAAGTAAGAACTTAAAAGTAAGGCATAAAACAATGCCATAACAGACTGTTCATGAACCAGCATGATTTAGAGCACTGCACAGAAGAACATACAACTGAACTACGTATATGAAACAAAAACACTTACATGATTTCAATATTGCCTTGTAAAGCATTGATGAGATTAAAGTACAGTGCTAAATGTATAACCATTATCATATATCAGGTAATATCTCATTTAGATTGACTGGTATTTAAAAAAATAGTAAATATTCTTTTTGTAGTGGGCACACTATTCAGGCATGCAACATGTATGCAAACTGCTCTGGGTCTCAGAACCTACTTTATAGGATTGTGTCATACATTATAGAAAATGATATGTGGACACCAGAAAGCTGAAAATGAACATAAGAGCTCACAGCTGTAAAAGGAATATATTATAATCGATCATAGCAATAAAGCATTTGCTTCCTTGGTGAAGACAAAGGCAAATCAATCAGTATAAAGTTACTAAAGGTTGATGCTCATTTGCTTTTGTTGGTAAATAGTTTACACAACATGGAGGGGTGTGAAAATGATCATTATCAAAAGTATATGGCTTTAATTACAATGCACTATTCCGCTTTCATGCAATAATTTACTTTTATTTGCTTTAGTACAAAAATGTATATCTTAAAGAATCAGCAGTAGAGTATAAGTTAACAATCTGTAAATTATTAGACACATCCAACATTGTACCATTGAACAAGGAAGAGTAAGCGTTTGCAGACTGGCTTGCAGTCAGGGCTGTGAAACAGTTCCTTTCATTACTGAGACGCAAGCTATGCAAGTCTAGAAACTAACAAAAGTCGTTTAATGTACAGGCTGGTGAAGCCCCACAAACTTTTAATGAGTTGTGAAAAGACTGAATAGGGAATCATAAAGTATAATGTGATCTTTCAGTGCCATGACAATGCCAGGAGTAACTAAGGAGTATACAGATCTTGGAATTAAAAGAAAATGATATTTAATACATTTTAGGATAATGTTAAGATAATGCAAAATAGTCAGTCCACTGAAATGACCTCTAGGAGAAGCAGAAACACAAGAGGATTGATTTACTAAAGGGAAACAGGCTGTTTATTATAAATAGGCTGGGGAATTTTCCCCAGTGCTTAGTGAATGCGGTGAATTTTCACATTGTAAAGAATTCTCAATGAAGTGCAAAGAAAAAACAATATTTTTGCTTGCACATGATTGGATGATGGAAGTCAGCAGAGCTTTATTTCTTTCACAAAGCTCTGAGGAAAATTCTCATACAAAGAGCAATTTTCCTTGCAGAATGAACAGTGTATTTGCCTTTAGTAAATGAACCCTAATAAATAGCATGCAATGTAACAGATCCCATACTGCTTACATTGCTATATCCTTCTGCAGCTCCTAAATTATCTGTAGAAGTTGATATGTCTTTTTACATTTTCTCTCAGTGAATCTTTTACAGCATATCATTGCCTATTGCAAAAAATAACAAGACGTAAGGCCAGTGATTGACAGATGTGAAGTAAATGCAGCAAAAATACGTTTCCATAGCTGACACACATCTTTGGCAATGAGGTTGACCTTTTTCCAAAGGTTGACAAAGACACAATGGCTACCTGCCTCCTGGGAGTCTACAATCTGTCACCTGAACATCTAGCTCTCGTCTACATTCAGGCCACTGGGGAATCAAACCCTAGTGCCTCACAGCGGGTTTGTGGCAATCCCATTGGAGCTGTCCAAATTTCCCAACACATGGGCCCATTTTACCAAGCCTACTATTAACTGGATGGACACCAGTGGGTGTAAAGATCATTACACACGATATATTGACTCCCTCAGAAATATTGGGTGGGATCCAGCCTGGGAGAATCAGATCATTCAGCGCCATTGTATTGCCAAGAACTCTCCACTGTCTATTTTCTTCCCTATACCGAATCTTCCATCGAGAGAATTTGGCCAAGTGAATAGCGAATATCAAGACAGGGTGCCATTCTTAAAGAAAGTGAATTCATTGGCTCACAATTGATAAGATCCAGAAATATTTAGACAGAATAAAGATGATAAAAGCACCTGGACCGGATGGCATACACCCATGGGTCCTTAAAGAATTGAGCTCTGTCATTCCAAAGCCATTGTTTCTAATTTATAGGTTCTCCTTAATGACTGGCATAGTACCACTGGATTGGCATAAGGCCATTGTGGTGCCTATATTTAAAAAGGAATCAAAATCTTTACCAAATAATTATAGACCTGTTAGTTTAACTTCTATAGTTGAGAATATACTGGAGAGTTTAATAAAAGACCACATGGAGTTCTTGCTTGAAAAAAATATTTTAAGCAACAGGCAGCATAGATTCATGAAAGACAGAAGACAAATCTGATTTCTTTTTATGAGAAGGTGAGCAAAACCTTGGAAAGAGGGGTGGCTGAGGACGTGGTATACTTGGATTTTGCAAAAGCGTTTTACACACTTCCCCACACATGGCTAATGTGTAAGGTAAGGTCTACCGACTTGGAAAAATCAGTATGTAAATGGATAGAAAACTGGCTAAAAGACCGAATTCAGAGAGTAGTGGTTAATGATTCATACTCTGAATGATCTAGGGTTGTCAATGGTGTACCCCAAGGTTCAGTGTTGAGACCTTTACTTTTTAATATATTTATAAACGATATAGGGTCTGTGATTAAAAATACTATTTTAGTGTTTGCAGATGACACCAAGCTGTGCAGTGGAATAACATGTCTCCAACTTACAAGCCGACCTCAATGCACTGTTTAATTGGGAAACTATGTGGCAAATGAGGTTTAATGTTGATAAATGTAAGGTTATGCACTTGGGGGTAAGAAAATGCATGCATCATACATACTAGGGGGGGGGGTACAACTGGGGGAATCAATGGTGGAGAATCTGGGAGTTCTGGTAGATCACAAGCGTAATAAAAGCATGCAATGCCAATCTGCGGTTTCTATAGAGAGCAAAATCCTCTCTTGTATTAAAAGAGGTATAGACTCCAGAGAGAGAGATATCATTTTACCCCTGTACAGATCATTAGTAAGACCTCATCTGGAATATGCAATTCAGTTTTGGGCACCAATTCACAAAAAGAATATTGGGGAACTGGAGAAAGTGCAGAGAATGGCAACCAAACTGATAAGAACTGGCATGAAGGAGCTCAGCTATGAGGAAAGATTAAAGGAATTTAATTTATTGTCTCTTGAGAAGAGGAGATTAAGGGGGGATATGATCACCATGTATAAATACATCAGTGTTTGTATAGTGAACTCAGTGTAGAGTTATTCACCTGAGGTCATCACAAAGGATAAGGGGGCACTCTTTATGTCTGGAGGAAAAGAGATTTAATCT